GCTTTGTGCACCCGCTGCTCCCGGACCGTACAGGGATGGAATCGGCATCGACGTTCCCGGACAGCCAAGCGACCAACTGACAACGAGCGAGCGGGTTTCCGCCACACATTTGTATGTGAATGTGTGTGTGTGTGTGTGTGTGTGTGTGTGTGTGTGTGTGTGTGTGTGTGTGTGTGTGTGTGTGTGTGTGTGTGTACGTGCGTATGCCAACCTGTCGGAAGACTACCTTCTTGCCAAAGCATTGGAAAGTTGCGCTAGTTTCGGCTCCACAACCCAGTGTGTCATTACTACATATCTTTCATGGCTGAGGTTGTTGGTATGTCTGTTGGCCCTGGGTTCACAGTACACTCGCATGTCTCTTATCCAGGCACCTTGGGACCGGGCACTGCTCGTATCTCAGATTTGCCCGTATCTCAGGACAACTCATCTACCATGTATCATAATCATTTTTTTGAAGAAGTTTGTTTGGCACGTCTTGCACATGTTCAGGTTACAGAAAGAATCCATTGATAAAAATGATGTGGATTTCACAGGTTGGTAGTGAAAAATAAGTACCTGCACATACGAAAAAGATTCAAATCCCCAAATTTAAAGCATTTTCGCCTTTTAAAAGAAGTCAAGCTGAAGGTGCCCGGTAGAGAGACGTGCCCGTATTTGAGGCGTCCGGATAAGAGACGTTTGAGTGTACTCAGCTGCCGAGGCTGGTTGGTAAACGAACTCCAATTTCACTTCAAGGTACCAGTGCATCTAGTGTCTGCTTCTATCAAAGTAGCGTGCCATCTGTATTGGTTACCCGAGCAAGTGTATGGTGTGCATAGGTAAGTGTCTTGGCCGTCCTTTCCCAATGTGCTCCGTGTGGTGTAGACCACGTGTGCATTGGTGGTCGATTCACATGGCTTCACCAGTTGTGTGGATTAGACAGTTATCTGGCGATAGTCTTGATCTGTCTCATTCAGATCTTGTCCACTATCGTTGCTATAAGAGAAAATCTGTGGGTGCACATCCAGTCCATTTGCAGATTTGCGTGCTTCTCTTGCGACGGGCGTATACATGGTACATTGTCCATTGGGTATGTATGTGTGTGTGGCAAGCGGATATGCCAACTGAAACACCTGGAGTGCCGTCAACGGCCGTACCGGTCATGGCAGTGGAAGTGGAAAATTTAAGGAAGGTGTGTGTGTGTGTGTGTGTGTGTATGTGTGTGTGCATGTGTGTGTGTGTATGTGTGTATGTGTGTGTGTGTGTGTCTGGCCAGAAAAAGCCACTTTAATCAGCTGTGTGGTGGATACCAGGCTAAAATTAGTGGCAGTCAATTCATCAGCCTTGCAAGCTGTTGAATGGTGTAATCCCAGCACAAGTTGCTATGTCTAATATAGCTGTTCGCTATCATCGCTTCCGTGATGGGCAGGTCTGAGGTGTGTGCATGTGTGTGAGTGTGTGTGTGTGTGTGTGTGTGTGCGTCTGTGTCTGTGTGTGTCTGTGTGTGTTTCCCTCTCCTGGGGAGACCCACGTGACCAATTCGGCAGTGAGCAAGTATAACTACAAGTGTTTGTGTTTATGTGATAAACTGCATATACACATGATCTTGGTGATTAGCTGTTTCTAACTTTCACCAAGCCAATTACATTATGTAAATACTCCGTCATTGGCTAGGCGTGTGTGTTCATGTATTTTCCTGCTACAAATATTTAAAAATATCTTTGTGTCAATCCTATTGATTACTAACGCAGATAGGCAAATCAGGATTTCACAACGTTCCGTAGTAGCGCATTCTCTCCTGACTTCCCGCTTGTCTAGGTGATTTATCACAATCTCCCATAAACCCACCGGGACATGTACAAGTAGTAATACTGGGACGGGAAGGGGAACGATACTCGAAGTCTCGGATGCTCAGACAGCTAAAATCATACTGGCACGCAGGCTCACTTACGTAGATGACATCACGTTGATAGCGAGTTTTCATCTGGCGGAGCATGACCGCCTCATCCAGATGGGTCAGCGTGGCCAAATCATTCACCTCCCCGTCGACCACGGATCCACCGAGCGCCGAAGCGCTGCTCTGGCGGGGCATGGCTGCAGCCGCGGCAACAGCGCCTGTGCTGTTTCGTTCCCGACGCACGAAACAGTCAACCCCGGACCCACTCCCCCTCCACAAACCACGATAAGCACGACTGGCCCTAGCGAGGCCCTTCTAAAGCTTCGTGTCCACTCCAAGAATGGAGGGTAGATCCACCGGCACTACCGTAAACGAAGTCGAATGTTCGAACGCCAAAGAATCGCACGTGGACCTCTAAATCCAACACCTCTACTCTGGGAAGGAGGTGGGCTGAGAGATCTGAGAATGGACAGGAACAGGATCTCTGCGCGCATGCAAGGCAGTGCGACGGCCGGCCTTGTGCTAAACCTGCGCGTCTAGTCCGCAGACCCGAATGAAGCCTTTGAAGGTGTGACTGTATGTCGTGTGCGTGTGTGTGTGGATGTGTGAAATAGCATGGCATGAGGCAAGGTTCGAGGCGCTACATATGACCATGGTGACGGTTGTAAACTCGAGAGTGTACATCTACATGGCCGTAGTCTACGTGCACCTACCATGAGCCTGCTCAGCTCAGGCGATGTAGATCGATCAACTCCACAACTTTTTTCTTCTTCTTTTTACTGTTTTCATGGTTTTAGAATTATTTAGTTTGAGCATGCAGCGTGCTAACCGGCTAGGCTAGCCTGACATTGACCGTTGACGTGTTGATGACAACGAACAATGCCTGGTTGTGTGAACAGACAGCGTGGTCAGTATGGAGTCCGAGAATCTAGCGCCCCAACGTCATCATGGTGCTGTCATTTTGTCTGATTCACGCTCCGGAGCTAGCTGAGTTCTAGCTGATCATGGGTAGATCCACATAAGACTACATGTAGTGTGGAAGTCTGAGACTGAGGGAAATGTTCAACAGCCTATGCTGGGATGACATCTACACCATAGCTCAGTGGAAAAGCCTCTTGCACCCTGTGTACGGGCAAAGCAAATGTGCTTACATACACCATAGCTCAGTGGTTAGAGCATCGCTGGCCTCAAGCGAAGGTCTCTAGTCTTGGTGGTGACAGTCAAACATATCCTTCAGACATTTCACTTCTCCATACCCTCATCTAGTGAGTAAGGACTTACGTGCACTGTTGAATGGTTTTATTTTATTTTTTGAAGCACCACGCTCATTATGGCTCCATTTTCAAACTCAAATGTACTGTCAAATCCTTCATAATTGTTCTCTGCTGATCCCCGTTGATTGGACAGTATGACAGTAGTGCTTCATATCCTTTTGAGCATCGGACTGCAGTTGGGGTCCGATCTTGTCTGCAGCACACAATAAGAGGTGAAGGAAGGAAGATTATATTCCTTCCTTCACACGCCGTTACTCCTCAACTTTCCTTTGTATGGAGATTCCATTTGGCCAAGCACAAGCATTTGGAGAAATATTTTAATTTTATCAACGTAAATAGTCTCAAAACATTTCTAACGTCACCAAACCATGCTGGTAATCGTAGATATCCTAACGGAGGAAGGTAAGTAACATCATTTCGCCATTGAAAATACTCCATTACTACACCATCATTGCGCACTCCATCCGACCAAGCACACTTCTCGCAACGGCAACAGAATCTAGATATCTTGATGTTCATCGTTTTTAAAAATGGTTAGTCCGAAGGATATTAGAAAAAAAGAACACATGCAAAAAAATCATTGTCTGATGACTGGCGCCATGCAGAACTCGAAGCAGGGTCCTACGCGATAGAGGCAAGCGACGGCTTAGGGACCGGCGGATTCTGCTCGAAAAGTTGGCAGATTCTGCTCGTAAAGCAGTGAAATTGGCAGAACCATACAAACCTTATGGCGGGCAATTCCTCGAATTCTGCTCCATTTTTTATCCACATACCAAACATGCATGAAACTTACCAGAAAAAGTACCGAATTCTGCCAATTTTTCTGCCGGCAGAATCCGCCGGACCCTGCGACGCTCCATCACTACCCTACATGACTTGTACATTCGTTGTCCAGGCAGAGGCCGAAACAGGATAGGTCCGATAGGTATAGAAATAGTTGGTTGCTCCACATGGAAACACACGTGTGTGGAGCACACGCTTCCTGCCGCCTGCCGGCAGGAAGGGTATATTCCACCAACAAACTTCATCATTAATACCGCCCAGGTCGCAACTCCTAAGTAGGCATAGAAAATTCAATTTTAACGAAGCACAATACACAGCCCTCATGCTAGAACTTATTGTAATGATTTAGACTCAAAACGCATCCACAGTAAAAGGTATCTGGCGCGGATGCAAAGCTGCACATCTTCATTCATGTGCTGGTCGTTTTTCGCGTATCTCACTCGTTGCTGGTGTATACCAGAGGGCAATGGCGTCTTACTACAAAATCACCATAGTTGGGATGTTGCGATTGTATGCTTTTGCTGTACGTGCAAATCATGCCATGAGCATCCCTGCCTACTCACGCCAAGGATCATAATACAACTGGATAATGGTTTGCTTCACTGTCCGAGGAGTGCTCAATACCCATGTAGGGCAGAGCCTTGTACACAAGAGAGAGATTGGAAACTTTGTTACAACTCTGAGTTTCACCTACACGTATTACTACGATCATATCCGGCATGCTTCCAATCTCTCTTGTGTAATACAACTGGATATACAAGTACAATGCATACGAACCACACTACAGAACCACACTACAGAACCACACTACACAACCACACTACAGAACCACACTACAGAACCATTCCGCACAACACAGCCAGTGCAACTTCTTTAGACTTTTAGTGCTGGTAAGAACTCACGCTCATGTACAAATTCAATGGCCGTCACTGACGCACAATCCACCCTTTCACTGTAAGATAGATCGGGCAGAGCAGCACCACCGCGGTGGTCAGCATTGACATCAACACAACACTTCTTATTTGGCCGTGCACCATCCAGCAGGCAGCAGCGTCTATCCCGCCGACTAGACTGACAAGAACCTGTCAAACTCCATGCTGCTATAGCACACAGGCGCAATGACACTACCATTGCTCATGTGCAACTCCCTGGACAAGACTCCAGAGACGGCTTCGAAAATTAATACCATTTACGGTCATACGGAATCCGCCCAGAAAGAGAGTGTCTGACATTGATTCGAACTTCGATCCTACCGTCCCAGCAGAGGTCAGGTTTGTAAACAAATACTGTACAGGCAATACTGTGACGTCGGCACGTGCGTGGGGGACGGCAGACACATGCTGCGGCGCGTCTGGATGATTCTCAAGCCCAAACAAAAAAGGTCAAAGCCTACTGGAATGCATCCACATCCAAAATGCATCCACATAAGTTAGATGTTAGTTTTTAATCCTCGGTCAGTATGACTAACCTTTATTTATTTATTTTATATATACTAGTACACTGTACAAAAGATAAAGACCAAGGAACTACAAGTAATTAGTTACGCTATACTATCCACTAACACCACCAGTTACTAAACAATCAGCTCATGCGATAACATTGCACGACACCGACCGACGGTAATGACGTGCTACAACTAACGGGCTAACAGCTCTAGCACATCTTGGATGCGCACTATACTCCATTTGAGTCCATTCCTACACACCTGATGAGCCGTCTATTTTTTTTTACTATTTGCACAGCCCTACTGGAAAACAGGTGGAGAACAGAGAAAAATTAGGAAAAAACATAGAGGATGTAGGGACGACGTGCCGATGTGCTGGGAGCAACTCAACCGACCAGAGGACCGTATTCACTTCGTCTTGGTGGTGTGAGTCATGGGGAAGTTGCCATACTGGCCGGTAAGTGAGCCCGCATCTCGTCACCGGGAGTACAGCTCGCTCGACTCGTCTCTACTGAGTGAAGAGGACCTACACATTAATAATAATAGTAATAATACGAAGTAGTGGTTGCGATTTCGGCGATGATTTGTAAGAAGTCAAGTATCAAGTAAAGTCGGCGGAATAGCGCGAGCTCCGGTGTGAGGAGCAAACCCTTTCTTACAAAATAGTAATAATAATAACTTTATTAGGATGACCCAAAGGCAAATCGCCTATCGAGGGGTTCATCGCATTAAATGGTTGCGGGGTCATTGATCTGGTGAGGTGCTTCATGCGCCGGGATTTGCAGTCAGCTGTGCGATCGACGGCGGATATTTCTACGTAGCCTCGTTTCGAGATATCCGGTGAACTGGGCTTGCTCAAAGCCAGCGGCATACAGGCTTGGTTTATGTACGTTCATAGGGCAGAGGAAAGAGAGGGAATTGACTACACTCAATTTTCCGAGCCCGTGGCGAACAGCCTAACAATAATATTGGACCTGACAATTGAGTATGTTGGGAATCTAGAGACGTCAACGAGGTGTTCAAGTACCGTATTAGGTCGACTTTACATCGAGATCTAGACTCAGTGTTTCATTTTGAAATGAAAAGCGTCTCTTGTGTGTTTGTCTTTGCACTGTGTATTTTA